GTTTTTAATTTTTTTTTAACTTTTCAACTCTTTTGTTAAAAACTAGTACAGAAACACACACATTAGCCTAGGTCTACACAAGGTCAGGATCATCTAGGTGTCACCAAACAATAGAATTTTCCAGCTCCATTATCTTCTTGTGGAACCACCATTCTATATGCAGTCTTTAACCAAAATGTCATTATATGTTGCATGACAGTACATTTACATTATAGCCATTGAGTTAAGGAGTTTCATTATGAAGGCTCGTGAAATACTATACACCTTTGAACAATTCAAGGCTATCTTGACACTATAGTTCCAGTCAAAGACATAGCCGCTAATTTACACAATACAGTGCTTTCCAATCAGAGAATTATTAAGTGGAGTGAATTTATATTATGTGCAATGTTTGTGTTACAAAACACCAGGGGTTTGGTCTGCTGCTGGCTGCACAGAAAGCCAATTACTGAGACAAGCATTGTCAAGGAAAAAGGCTTTCATTGGGTGCTTCAGCCAAGGAGATGGGAGCTCAGCCTCAAATCCATCTGCATTTCCCTGACTAACTAAAACCGGGGGTCTATATAGCAGCCAGGAACAGTAACAACAGGTAAGAAAACAGGAACTTGGGAGGAGCAAGGAAGCAATGATGGTGAATGAGAGGTCCAGCAACTGGTGCAGTGGTCTAGTTTCAGTTCTTTGATAGTTTATGTGAGAGGCCTAAACGTCATTTCCTCAGGAAGGAACTCAGATAAAACAAAAACAGGTTTCAAGCTTTTTAAGACCTTAAGGGTCAATTTCTATGTTTATCCAAAAACGACTGTCTATGGGACTGTTGAGCCCATTTCATTTGGATAAATGCCACTTTTCTTTGCATTCTTACAAAGTGGGAAGAGATTCCATCTTCTATGACTTTCCATTGTGTTGTGTATTATCTCTGTGTTACACTCTCTCATGTTCAGGCTTGATTTTGCCCTAAAAGTTTTTATGTGTCTTTACTTCATTTGTACATGCAACTTGAAAGCAAGATACACCGCAGTCCTAGAAAGTTGTTTGCCTAGAAACTGACCACCTGACTTCTACCATCTTCAAAAGACCCTCTCCCTTTCCCTACCCATCCTTCTTCTCTTGCTTCATTACATTACATATTTTATATATAAATGGTATTTATTTCAACTTGTTTTTTAGTTATAGTAACTTGTCTATATATATTGCCCAATCGATAATATTTTTATACCTGAGAATATTGTTTGGACATTTTGGGTTGGGTGGAAGGTATCACAATTTTTTTTCCAGTTAATATTAATGGGAAATGGTTCTTATTTAATAGTTGTTCACTTAGTAACAGAGTTTTCAGAAACAAATTTTTAAATGAGAGATAGGGGTTTTTGGTTTATCCTTTTAGTGTTTCCTTTTTGCAAATATAAGCAAATAACTACTTCTAATTAAATAAAATTATATCAACAACCTCATCTTTTTTTTTTTTTTTTTTTTTGGTTTTTGGGTTTTCTTAAGTTGAAAATTACCTCTTGATTCCTCCTCATAATGCTCCTTTTGTAGGTACTGTTAGATTTCACTTGAAAACTCCTGCTCATCTGCCCCAGAGGTTCTACCTCTTTAAATCGTTTTTCCTTTGCTGGGGGGATGGAAGCAGCAGGGCAGCAATAACAGGGCTAAACATGCTCCTCTGGATTGTCAGCAGATTCAATTTTCTCTGTCCAGCCCCCAGCTAAGCTGAGTGACAGAAAAGCCATGCCAAGACAGGAGCCCAGACTCTCAAATGCTTGAGCATTTAATGACTGACAGCGGGAGTCCAGTTGTGTGAAGGGAAGCGGCACACAGAGGAAGCAGGGGTGTGGAGAAAGAGGGAGACGGTTCTGCAGTGCAGCAGGAAAGTGGTGAGGAGAAGCATTTGGAAGAGGATACACATGGATACACCACACATGTGCACACACACACACAGAGCACACAAGAAATTAATTAATGCATGGTGCTCACAATTATTTGCTAGGGCAGAATCTTAGTGTCAGGTTTGCACCAAGGCCCATGAGACAAAGTGAAACTAAATCCTAATCTGCCTTATTTCTGGGATATACTTTTAAAGATATTTTCCCTTTCATTGGGGAAGTCACTCTAGTCATAAACCCATTAAAAAAAGGAGGGGGTGCACTTATTCAAACCTCAAAATGGAGCATAATAGCTCACATGTAGTATTCGTTTTACAAACAAGCTTTGTTTTATATGAAATATACTTATTCAAATAGGTCTCAGAGAAGAGCTATGACATTCTTTCAAACTTGATAAGTGGTAAAGTGAAGGTTAAACAGGCTTTCTTTAGGATTCAGAGATGACAGTCAAACAGAATAACAAAACACAGACCAGTGTTACTAAAGGACATATTCTCCCACAGCTCGTCCTACCAAGAAATTAAAGGCATAGAAACAAATTCTGTAATAGAGACATAAAAATCCAGAAATCTGCATTATCATTGACGTAATTAAGGCTACTTATACCTGATTAAAATGTAACAGAAGGGCTTGTCAATAATATAAATGTTTCTCAATCCTTAAAGACAGCTAATGAGAATTTCTATCTGTTCCAGCTTTGTATTATAAAAAATTTTGAACATACAAATGATTGAAAGAATTAGGGTAATTAAGATCCATTTACCCACTACCTACATTCAACAATTCTTCATATTCTTCTACACTTGCTTTGCCTGGAAATAAATATGTAGATGTACAGATGATTCCAACTTAAAATGGTTCAGCTTACAAAATTTTTTTACTTTATGATGGTGCAAAAGTGATATGGATTCAACAGCCTCCTCAACTGACAATGGTGTTGAGTCTAGACAAACCCAACATAAACTGAAAATATCCTAAATTGAAAATGAACTTTCAACTTAGAATATTTTCAACTACTGATGGAATTATCTGAACGTAACCCCACTTTTAAGCCAGGGAGCACCTATATGTAGTCTCTTTTTTGCTAAGCCATTATAAATTAAGTTGCAGATAACATAACACTTTATCCCTAGATACTTCAGCAAGCATCTCTAAAAAAAAAAAAGAAAGAAAGAAAGAAAAAGGAGTACTCCTATAATTCTGCCCAATTATACAATCATTCCTTTAAAAATATACAATAATTTTATCATAATATGTATCATCCATTGCATATTTGATCTCCCTTGGGAACCAAAATGTCTTTTAAAACTGTTTATTCTTTCTTCTTTTTTAACAAGGGTATTATCAAAATTCTCATATTGCATCTGTTCTGTCCCTTTAGTCTGTTTATTTTAAAATAGTTCACTCACCTTTATGTTTTTCTCATGACATTGACCTTTCAAAAGATCTAATCATCTTTTTGGTACAATATTTCACATTCTAGATTTGACTTACTGTTTGCTTATAGCTTTAACTAATTTCTCCAGATCCTTTATTTACTGTAAACTGGAAGTTAGAGCTAAATGCTTGATTAGGTTAAGGTTGAATATTTGAGTCAAGAACACTTATAAGGGATGTTGGATGCTCATACTGAATAGCCATGAAGACACCTAAGGTTAGGCTGTCCCAATAGTCAGGGTATATGTTTATTACCCTTGCCACAGCTCCTAATTATACAAGTATGTCCTCCCTTTGCAATTAGCAATTAACCTGTGTCTTGATCCTTTGGAAATATTTGAATATCACATACACCAAAAACTTTTCACTCAATAGGTTTCATAACCACTTATGATGCTTGTTTAAATCAAGAATTTCATTGGAGGCTGAAAAATGGTGATTTTCTAATGCCATCATTTTTCTACATTTATTTGTCCATGTGTGATGTAGGGATAGTGTTCAATTTTGGTTGCTGTTGATGTTTTGATTAAAAAAATAGGTTTTTCTCAACAGTAAGGGATGAACTATAGTTCTAAAAACATAAATTCTTGATTTTGTCACATTTTACTTTTTATTTTTAAATTTTTATTTATTATTTACTTATTTTAGATTCAGGAGGTATACATACAGGTTTGATACAGGAGCATATTGCATGATGCTGAGGTTGGACTTGTAATGACCTCATTGCCCAAATAGTCAACATAGTACCCAGTGGGTAGCTTTTCAACCCCTGGACCCCTTCCTCTACTACTTTTAAAATCCCAGTGTCTATTGCTTCTTATCTTTGTGTCTGTGTATACCCAGTGTTTAGCTCCCACTTAAAAGTGAGAACCCATGGTACTTGGTTTACTGTTTCTGCATCAATTCACATAGGATAATGGCCTCCAGCTGCATCGTGTTGCTGCAAAGGATATATTTCATTCTATTTTAGAGCTATGCAGTATTCCATGGTTACATGTACATTTTATTTATTGAATCTACATTGATGGGTGTCCGTGTTGATTCTGTGTCATTGCTATTGTGAATAGTGCTGTGATAAACATAAAAGTGCAGGTGTCTGTTTGGTAGAACGATTTATTTTCCTTTCGGTATTTACGAAGTAATAGGATTGCTGGGTCCAACCTGCTTTTCATAGGGGCTGAACTAATTTGCATTCCCACCAGCAGTGTATAAGCATTCCCTTTCCTCTGCAACCTCACTCATATCTGCTACTTTTTGACTTTTTATTAATAGCCATTCTGAGTGGTGTGAGATGGCATCTAATGGTGGTTTCGATATGTATCTCTCTAGTGATTAGAATGCTGAACATTTTTTCATATGTGTGTGTTGGCTACATATATGTCTTCTTTTGAGACATGTCTGTTCATATCCTTTCCCCAATTTTTAATGGGGTCATTTAATTCTGGTTTATTTATTTAAGTTCCTTACAGCTTTTGAAGATGAATCTTTTGTCAGATCAGAGTTTGCAAATATTTTCTCTCATTCTGTAGGTTGTTGGTTTACTCTGTTGATAGGTTCTTTTGTTGCATAGAAACTCCCTAGTTTAATCAGGTCCCAATTGTCAATTTTTTGTTTTGGTTACATTTGCTTTTGAGGACTTCGTCATAAATTCTTTGCCTGGGCCAATGTAGAGAAGAGTATTTCCTAAGTTTTGTCCTAGAATGTTTATAGTTTGAAATCTTACATTTAAGTCTTTAATCCATCTTGAGTTAATTTTTGTATGTGGTCAGAGATAGGGGTCCATCTTCATTCTTCTTCATATGATTAGCCAGTTTTCCCAGCATCATTTATTGAAGAGTGTGTCTTTCCCCCATTGTTTATTTTTGTTGACTTTATTAAAGATCAGTTGATTGCAGGTGTATGGCTTTATTTCAGTAGTCACTATTCTGTTCCATTGGTTTCTCTATTTTTGAAATGGTACCATGCTGTTTTGGTTACTGTAGACTTGTAATATAGTTGGAAGTCAGATATTGTGATGCTTCTGGCTTTGTTCTTTTTGCTTAAGATTGCTTTGGCTATTTTTTCAGTTCCATATGAATTTTAAAATGGTTTTTGCTGATTCTGTGAAAAATGACGTTGATCATTTGATAGGAATAGCATTGAGTCCGTAGATTGCCGTAGGCAGTATGAGCATTTTAATGATATTGATTCTTCCAATCCATGCACATGGAATGCTTTTCCATTTGTTTGCATTGTCTATGATTTCTTTCAGCAGTGGTTTGTATTTCTCCTTATAGAGCTATTTCACCTCCCTGGTTAGATGTATTCCTGGCTACCTTTAGGATTTTTTTGTTCAAGTCGACCTTGGATAGTCTGATGACTATTGCTCTGGAAATGATCATCTTGTATAGCACCTTGTAGGAGTTCTCCGGATTTCTTTTATCTGCATGTTGACCTCTCTAGCAAGATTAAGAAAATTTTCTAAATTATATCCTCAAATATGTTTTCCAATTTGCTTACTTTCTCTTCTCTCTCAGGAATAACAACCCTGTGATGGGAGACAGCCTAATTCTAGCACCAGCACCAACTGCTGAGGCACTCTCCACACTCACTACTCCATTCTGGATATGGGAACCCTTTCCTTTATTCCAGAGCAAGCACTTCAATCTCTAACATGAAGCTAAAATGCCTGCTGTGATAGCCTGCCAGGTCACCAAACAATGTCAGGCTTTGCATGAGCCTGTATTTAAAATGATGTTCTCCTCTCAGCGAGGGGAGAAAAGTGCCTGCAGCTTTTCCCAGTGTCCTACCCTCTCTCCTTCTTTCAGTCTCTCCTAAGTTAGCTGTAGGGCTTGAAACAGAGTGCTTGTCCTTTTTCTGGGATACATGAGTCCCTAGGACAAAGATGAGTCCCATAAGGAGACTGCCTCTCTCGTGTACTGGGGCTTTACTCACATATATCAGCTGAATGCTATCACTGGGGCTGCTTGATCACCTTCTCCTCTCAGGGCTCTGGGTTGTCCTCTGCTATTCCAGTGAATTGCCAGAGAAATAGCAGAAGTTATTGAGATGTTTGGGCTCAGACACCAATGCATAACTGTGGTGTTTGGGCATACTGAGTACTTTGAATCAAAGGACATTAAAAAGGCCTCAGAAGGAAACTGCCTTCCTTTTTCCTGCTCCCCTTTCTCCACCAAGGCAGGTCATAGAAACTAAAGTTTCTTTCCCCCAATGTGGGCCATAGAAGCTAGAACCCATCTCCCCGGAAACTAGACATAAATCGTATAGATAATACTCTAACCTTTCCCTACCGTTCTGTATAGGAGCTGGCCACAAAGACATCCTGTGACCTATATTGTCTGATAATAGGGCATATGACCATTTCAGAAGAGGCCCTGGCTTTTGCATGGGAATAAGGGATGCCACAGAGAGACCAAGAAGTATCTGAACAGGAAGACCTTGCTTTCGTATCCTGTCCTGGCCTACTATCATTAGGTCATACTCTTTTTGTTCAATCACATTTCACTACAGCTGTCATTCCACATTGAAACTAAGCATAAAAATGGACAGTTTTCCTGGGTATTTGGGTCTTCGTTTCTGAAGGCTTTTGTGTCATGTGAAACTGTGTTTAAATAAAGTGGTTATGCTTTTCTCTTGTTAATCTGTGTTTCTTTTATAGGAGTGTCACTTGTAACCCTTATGGTAGGTGAAGAAAGATATCACACCTTCCACCCCTTTAGATATCTTTTTTTATTTCCCCATTCTGCTCTACCACCTCTGCTGGCACTCGCTCCCAGACACCTGCATTCCCTTTCCCCAGTATACAAACTGGCCAACTCTAAGAGTTATCTGGACTAAATTGCAGGACACTCAGTATGCTCAAGCTACCAAATTGGTCCATGAATCATCTTTGTATGCGCAGGTTGTTCTTAGTTGATGGCAGCTGTGCACTGCTAATGGCCTCCCAAGCATCAGAGCTGCTTTAGTGTAGCAATTATTTGCATTAATCAAAGGCTTCAAGCAAATCTCCCACTTTTGGCTGAATAGTAAAAGTATATATTCATGCTGTGCCCAAATGAGGGATTTCACAGAAAAAGGGATATTTTGGGCACATGTTGCTACTATGGAATTCAGTTTCTAACCAATCTCTCCTTCATAGAAGGTCAATTTTGCTGGAGGTTATTATCTGTATACAAGCTTACTTAACAAATGAGAATGTGGTGGTTTAAGTGCACAGAACACTCGCTAATTAATCAATATTCGAATGGGCTGAATACGACTATTATATCCATTCCAACTCTAGAGGGCTCTCTAAGTGTGGAAATGAGAGCTAATCAGCATAGACACACACCTGTTTGAATAGTTCCAGGTGGGATTTAAATGACTCATGCTCAGCCTTGCATCTGGAGGTGATGCTGTGAACAGTGGCATGAAACCCAGAGAAGTGAAGCTACTTTCATCCTGACAGTGTGGATGGTATTGTGTCCATTTTCCAGAGGCTCCATGGTTCCCAAATAGGGCTTCTGAGAGAACACTGCCAGTGTGGCTATGTGAGTCCTCTCTGTCATCCTCAGTGGAGAGAAGACATTGAAATATACCTCAGCACACCAGAACAGACTTGAAAATCTGAAAGACACTACAAAAGAGGCCTTTGAAAACTAAAGAAGACTCCCGTCAAGCCTGCTCAATTTCTCTGAGGTCAAACTAAATTTAAATTCTTTTTAACTATCAAACCAGAGAGAAAAGAGAGACTGAAAATTTCTCAATCAGTAAATGGTGACTTATTTTTTATGTGTTGTAGGAATATTAGAATAATGAGAAGGAAACTCTGCAGCAATAAAATGTTAAGATGCCCACCACACTGAGGCAATATTCATTGAGGAGCACAGTGGGTAAGATGTAGGAAAGAAAGACTCAGCCAAGCTTGGAGAAATCCCTGTCCTCCAGAGGCCTCCGCCTATGTGCCCTGAGTTTTCTAGCCTATCAGTAGTTAACTTGGGTTATTGCTTTAAATTTCACTCCATTTTTTTCTAAAATAATAAGAACTTACATTTTAATGAAAGGATCATTATCATATTCAAGCATATTCTTTCCCACAGGACTTTATTCTTTGCATATTTATGATTCTGTTGGCTAAAGCTGAAAGAAATTTACAAATGAACAAAGGAAAGGAAGATGTTGACTTCTAAGAAGACTGTCATAAAATGCCATTTGCAATTTTTGTTTGTTGCTTGTCCTGTCCACATCCACTCAACTTTTGCCTGATAAATATACCCCAGTCTTCCTCTGGTGAACCACCTTCTCCCTCACTCTCAATGCCTTTGTTAGAATTGATCATGTTCTTGATTCCAAGGGAGGGCATGTGATTCAGCCCCAACCAAGGAAAGCATTGCATGTCCCTGAGCCATGATGGTAAGTTTGCAAATGAACATGTGACCCAACTGGGCCAATAAGTGCTAATTCAAACTACTCAGGAAAAGAGGGGTTCCTTTTTGCCTTGAATTTGAATGTGGAAAGATTTTGTCCTGGGGTTGTATGCAGCCATCAATGAAGACACAATGGAGAAAATCTGACTCCAAAAATTAAGAGAGAACCAGCTCTGCATTAAGCCCTGGATTTCACAGTTAAATGAGCCTCTGAATTCTATTTTTTCATTTACGCCCATTTGAATGGGCTTTTTGTGCATCCTTACCTGAGTAGACTGACCCAAAGAGATTCAAACTGTATTATATATTTCATCCTCCAAAGAAGGAAATACCATGTCTTAGTCTGTATTTAGGCTGCTATAACAAAATACCATTGGGTAGTCTTTAAACAACAAAAATTATTTCTTATAGTTCTAGAGGCTGGGAAGTCCAAGTTCAAGACACTGGCAGAAATTGTCTAGTGAGGGCCCATTTTCTCATAAACAGCACCTTCTAGGTGTGTTCTTACTTGGTGAAAGGGTTAAGGGGTCTTTCGGTTCTTTTTTATAAGGGCACTAATCCCATTTATGAGGACTCTGCCCATCTGCCCTCATAACATAATCACCTCTTGATACCATCACATTGAGGGTTAGGATTTCACCATATGAGTATTTGGGTAAGACAATCATTCAATCTGTAACATACCATAATTCTTCCCATGCCTAACTTACTACTGAAAAGTAGTAGAGAAAGGTTCTGATCACGAATGGGAAGGCCTGCTTTTGATTGCACAAGTGCCATTAACTATCTGTGAGAAAGTGGTCAAGTCACTGGGTCAGTATGGGTGCCTGACGATTCCCACCTATGAAATAAGGGGTCTGAATTGGAGGATTTCTAAGGGTCTTCCCGCTCTATAATTCCAGTCTAATACTTGCCCAACAACCTTGACTGGGAGAATATTTGAGAAACGATCAGAAAGAAAATTATTGAATGGCCAGATTTTTTTGTGTGTTCTTTAATCCTCTCTGTCACAGACTCTAAGCTGATGCCAAGGAACATGGTTTAAAAATAAATAAATTAAAGAAACAAACACCTTAATGTATGTACTTCGCCTGTTAGGGTGGGCTTGTATGTGATTCAGATTTAGCTGTTTTCCAGTGTTCAAACCAGGCCAGCTGTGCAAAGCTGCACTGTCTTTGATAAATGAGAAGGAAAGCCTCATTAAAGAGACCCTCCACACTTTTTTCTTTTTTCTTTTCTTCTTCTCCTTCTCTTTTTTCTCTTTTGTCAAGAATCTCTGCAAGCTGCAGTTAATGATTAGAACAGTCTGCAGGCTGCAGTTAACGATCCACGTGGTGTTTGTGTCTCTGCTGAACTCGTGTATTTGC